AAATCAAAATAATTTCCATAACGATTATTTGTCTTGATGTTAATTATCCAAAATTAATTAATTCAATTATTAATCTAGATTTTTAATAAAAATCATAATAATTATTAATTAATTTCTTAGGATGATTTAAAATCAAAATAATCCCATAATAACTATCATACTAGTCGCTGAAGACATAATAGCTATTATGCTCATGCAATCATACAAGTTATGCAACAATATGGCACCACCTATTCTATATGGCATGTTATCGCAATAAAGCATCTTATCAATCATATAATTTATACCAATCAATAAAAGCATTAAATCATAAATCATAATTACTTTAATCCATGACCTTCCTATTTTAAAGAAAATAAAATAAAATAAAATTAAATAATACAACTTTGGAATTCGACTTTCGCCTAGCCCATAGTATCTGTCTCAAGCCCCTTTAGGGTTTCATGGGCCCAAAAGCCCAAAGACCCAATCCTTTGGCGAGAAACCCTAGGACGCGAAAGAGGAACCCTAGCCGTCAGGTCTGCCGCGCCGTCACCCGAAGTCAAATCAGGCTGAAACTCCAGGGGAAGGACCGCCACGTAGAGACGAGTGCACCGCCGCCGGAACCACCCAAAAAGGTGGCCGGACGCTCCCTCACTCTCCCATTATTTTCTGGAGAGTGGCGGCCACTCTCAGCCCCTTGTGGAGGCGCGTGGTGAAGCGTGGAGTCTCCGATGGTGGTGATCCACCCACCGTTGCGTTCGTCTTTCCGTCCTCTTTCCAACCATATATAGATCTCCTGATTCCGAGATCGGGAAGACCTCGAAAATTCTTCGACAGTACTGACTGCGCATCTTACTCGCGGTTTCTCGATCTTGAACTTTTACAAAATATTGGAAAAATACACAGAAATTTCGAAAATAAATAAAAACAGCAAGGAGGAAACCTAATCATATGGGATTAGCCTCCTTGTTACAAATCGAGAAATACACGAGAGACCCTAACCATGGATTAAAGCATTTTTACCGATTAAAATTTAAACTTTTATGAAAATGAATTATAAAATACACATGCTAGATTCATACCATAATCCTAGAACCCTAGGTGCCACATTTCAAGAAGCAAAACTAATTACATGAATAGTGAAACTAGATTCACATACCAATATACAGCCAAGGCTCTGATGCCAATTGTAGGAAAACTTAGATTTATGCGGAAGCGGTTTAGGACCTAGTACATTGGTATGCTTACCGAATCATCCTTGTTTCACAATTACCTCTCGGTGCGCAGGTCTCGTGTACTCTTCACGAACAACTCACCTCAGCGCCGCAGCACGAACAACCTCCTTGAAGCTGGACTGTGGCAGATCTTCCAAACTATCTCTCGAGGAGGAAGGGGAAGTGTGTGGGCACTGATTAGATTCAGAGCTTGCCTCTTTCTCACAAAAAAGACCTTGGAGGCTGATGACTTAAGAGGTACTATTTATATGGGTTCCAAGAAACCCTAGCTCATTGGGCTCTAGGTTCCTTGGGCTCTTCTCATACTAATAACCCATTTGGGCTTTAGTAAAAGAGCAAACCCAACAACTGACATTAAGAGAACCTCGATGTAACACCCTGTTCTAAAACCGGTTTGTTATCATTACGTACGGCATTAAACGCAGTTACAAACATCAAATTGAATTAAAATCCGGATAAATTTTTTCCTTTTTATTTATAAACGCTTTTGATTAAATCAATTCCGTACTTAAAACAATTCCCATAAGGTGAATGTAACTTAACTACATGTGGAATTATTACTGTAGGTCTCACTTTTATTGCTTTTAGAATCTAAACGCGTCCACCCTTTATTTATTTAAGAAATTCCTATTATACTCTTATGGTCTCCATTTGTTCAACATATTATAGGATTTTTCATTAGTTACGCGTGGGTTCAAACCGCGCTCAAATCGGAGCACCGTAGTCTAAGTTACGCATTTTCTAAGAAAAGAGTGCAAAATTCCCAGGACCCCCACGCCCATAGCGTGGACAAACAGAAAGGTTGACGCTTAGAGCGTGGCAATTCTGGAGCAAGCACCCAAAACAAGACAATCTGACCTCCTGTGGTATTCTACCCATAACTTGAGTTGTACTCATCTAAATTACCCAATCTTGGTCTCTATGGAAAACTAAGAGAAATATCTACAACTTCCATTAAGACAAAAGGGTCCAAATCTATCATATAAAATACGAAAATTGGACAATAAGACGGGATATCTTTACTTCTACTTGGATTTTCCACTTAAAGGCCTCCTTTCACCTAATTGACCATCATATGATTCTTTTAATACATGAATTCTAGTCTTTCAAAGTACTCAAACACAAGAGAAACATGCATACCATTTTATCATACATGTATCTCCATTAATTACAACCTTTCCACATGGCTTAATTACAATTCATGGGACTTAGTTACAAAACTCTATGATCAACCCCTTGACTTTCATCAACAAAAGAGGTACCAAAAGAGGTGAGCATAGGCTAAGTCCATCAAAATAGAAGATGACATACATATAGCAATTGGCTTTCAAATGCAAATCCTATACATGGTACTACTACATGTCATGTATAATCCAAAAGAATGCAACATCTTCATGCATCTACTAATCCAAATATGGCCACTTGTCACCGGAGGCCCCTGCAGCATCTTTTCCTGAAAGGGGGTCCTCACAACACGGGGTGAGATATACGAATATATCACAGTAAATCAGGGGTCCTTGGAGCATCTCTCCACCCCATAGTTCAATCACATTGTAATAGCAATAACTATAATAATGCAATAAATACATATCCATGCAGTGTGTAAACAACATCTCCAGGAGAAATCTCTCGAGCTCTCAAGCTGTCCTAAGGATACTCAGATGCAAATAGTCCTACTGGCCAGCTAAACTACCAAGTATGATTTACGCATCGTCATGCAACATACCAACATAGGGAAACACCATCCTATGCCACACCAAAGCATACACATACGTACAACAAAGCATTAAACTATTTCATTGCATTTATATACACTATCACAACCACTACCCAATCAGGGCTTGGTGGAACAATCAAGGGAATTACACCCAAGGTCCGAAGGCTTACCTTAAAGCTTCCGTTCAACCTTTGTTCTTCACCAATTACAATTCTCACTTTTATAAACAACCACCTACACAACATGTAATGCAATCAACATATTGCATTCAAGATTATCACATAATCATCAACCAAGCTATCCAATTCATACTACAACGAGATATGAACTTACCTATTCCAAAGAGCTAATCAAGCTCCATAGCTTGCTCCAACAGTTGGTCACTCAATGTTGGTCCCAATGCCTCAATCCTAACATCACAAAGGCATAATCAACAACCAACCAAACCATGTATTACAATACTAGAAAATCAACACTTAACATAATTTTTCTAATACATGGACAATAACTAAATGGTTATCTAATCTCATTCCTACCGTTTATCTCTCATTAGTAACCACATTTACAAAGGACCTAAGCTTAAATCAATCTCCAACACATACAACCTACAAAACACTATTCCTCAAAACCCTAACTCATGAAAATATCAAAGGATTATGTGAAAGAGAGTGGAAACTTACCACCAATGGATCACACAACAAGGCAAAGTTGCTCCTCAAGCTTCCATGGAGCCAAATGCTCCCCACAACCCTTCAACCTACAAAGGGGCGGATTTTTTAGAGAGAAAATCTCACAACACAAGGCTCCCCACAACAAACCTAGGTTGGATTCAAGAAGAGGGGAGGATTTAGAGTGATTTAAGCTTTGGAATGGATGATTTTGGTCAAGGTTTGCAACCTATAGGGTTTTTCCCCTCTTTCTCCTCTCCTCCTTCTCTCCTTCTCTTTCTCTTCCTTTCTCTCTTTCTTCTTTCTGGGCTCGACAGGAATGGGGAGGGGTTTGGGTTCTTTTTTTTTTTTTTTTTATATGGTCACTTAACATTAGTTAAGTGAGATCGAGTGGGTATTGATTCATCTATCTATTCAACTCCATTAATTACCAAACTTTACCCAAAAGTCTGGAATGTTATTCTAAGAATATTTCTGCTTTTATTTTTATATTTTGGGTACTTTTGCCTACATCTATTTGTACCCCTTAATTTTCACATAGTACCCTTTTTACCTCAAAAGTGACCCCAATTCACTTAATTAAGTTCTATACTTAATTTTACTCACTAATACTTGCTTAATTCTTTAATTACATATAATTTACTAATTAATTAGGCTAAGACTATTATACTGGACTTGTCATGTTTAAAAGCTGTACTCACAAGTCACAAAGGTACCTAAATGGGTAAATAGAACAGGAAAGTTTTGTGCAGGGGACACCTTTAACTCCAATTATACAATTGTTCTTCTCTGTGATCACCATCATGTCCATGCTTTTTGATCATACCTTCTAATTTTTTTTTTCAGAAGAATTAGAAATTTACATTTTAAATTTGTTCTCTCTCTCTTGAATTCCTTGTTAATAATATATTGACTTGAAATTTCACAATGAACTTTTAGAGGATTCTTTTCTTTTTTCTTTTATTTTTAGTATGATTTGAGTTAACATCTCCAAGAGTTTTTGGAATGGATCTAGTTTGTGTTGGATATTTAAATTATTAATATTTTTTAACCCTCACCAAAAAATAAATTAGTAATATTATTTTCACATGTTACAAAAAAGTAGACTAGATACAATTTTTAAATATTGCAAAAAAGAAAATTACTATATTTTTATATGTTACAAAAAAAAAAAAAAGTAATTAGCAATACCTTTTTGAATGTTATTAGTAACATATTTTTTAACTGTTACTAGGCTACTAGTAACATGTCAAACTGTAGGTATAACCTATTTGGTAAGGTGGCCTTAATATAACACTCTTTACATTTTATTAATGGAAAATGTTGCTATATTTCAAGTATGTTGTAGTGATCATAATTCATAATCAAATTTATTCATTCATTTTTAACAAATTGAAGGGTGTAGCGGCAAATCTAACGTCAGACAGTGCTCCTCGATATGATGTTTTTGTAAACTTTAGGGGCAAGGACATCCGCCCCGGTTTTCTTGGCCATTTGATTGTGGCTTTTCAAAAAGAGCCAATAAATGCCTTTGTAGATGATAAACTTGAGCGAGGATATAAAGTATGGCCATCACTTGTTGGAGCAATTAAAGACTCATTCATTTCGTTGATCATATTCTCAAAAGACTATGCTTCTTCTAGTTGGTGTTTGGACGAACTTGTGGAAATAGTTGAGCGCGGAGAAAAATATGGACAGATTGTAGTGCCTGTTTTCTACAATGTAGAACCCACGGATGTACGACATCAAACGGGGAGTTATGGAAAGACACTTGCTGAACATGAAAAAAAGTATAATTTCCCTTTTTTTTGGTGGAAAAAGTATAATTCTACTAGGGTGCAAAACTGGAGACATGCGTTAACCGAATCTGCTAATTTATCAGGAATTACGTCATCAAAATTTCGGTAAGCTTTTTAATTTCTTTTCCCACAATAAATGTTCACTATATTGTAACTATTTATTGTTATATAGCAATATGCAAACTAGTTCCATAAATAGCAAAAAGATAACCTTTATTTTCTGTTTAGTTTTTTATGGAATGCGCGCTTTTTAGTTATTACTTCTGCATCTATTAGTAAATGCGGCACATGTTCATGCCAGTAGTTAGGTTGGACAAGCCATACTTAATTTGTTGGTTTATTGAATTTAGTTGTTAATTAGACCAAAGTCATTCAATTAAAATGTATTCCGATTTCCAAATGTTATTTGTAAATGACACATTTAAAACTTGTAGATACATTTATTAACCTCTATTTATTATTATTATTATTATTTTCCTTTACCAAACTCTTTTAAGTGATTTCACGATGGAGGTAGGAAAAGAGAAGAGGATGTTCCATTGTGGATAACGAAGCCTGATATTTTAAAATTTCAAATTATAAGGTTTTGTGAAAATATTATGTCTATTTCTTCATGAAAATATATATATTCACAAATTTTAATAAGTTCTCATGTATTTAATGTTTACAAAGAGAGAGATAAATACAAAAATTTGTAGTTAAGCTAATATTAATGCCATTGAATTTCATACATTCTTCCTCACTCTCTCTCTCTCTTTTGTATAGGACTGATGCAGAGCTGGTAAAAGAAATTATCAAAACCGTCAATCTTGAGTTGAAGAAGTTGGATAAGAACCCAATTCACTCAAAAGGACTCGTAGGAATATGCAATCCAATGGAACATTTAGAGTCATTGTTACATCAAGAGTCAAAAGATGTGCGTATTATTGGAATTTGGGGTATGGGCGGTATTGGTAAGACTACCATTGCACAAGAAGTATTTAACAAGCTAAGGTCTGAATATCATCGTTGTCGTTTTTTGGCAAGCGTAACGGAAGAATCAAGAAGACCTGGGATAATGTCTTTGAAAGAAAAATTGTTTTCTAAACTTTTACGAGATGATGATGTGGAAATTAACACACCAAATGGATTGTCCGAATATGTTATAAGGAGGCTTGATAGTATGAAGGTTCTTATTGTTCTTGATGATGTAAATGATCCAAATCAACTAGAAGTTTTAGTTGGAGATCATGATTGGTTTGGAACTGGTAGTAGAATCATTGTAACAACTAGAGATAAGCAGGTGTTAGCTAACAAAGTTGATGATATATACCAGGTTGGGGCATTGAGTAATAGTGAAGCACTTGTGCTTTTCAATTTGCATGCCTTCAAACAAAATCATCTTGAAATGGAGTACTCTACGCTATCAAAGGGGGCGGTCAATTATGCCAAAGGCATTCCATTAGTTCTTAAAGTTTTGGGTCGTCTTCTTTGTGGAAAAGATAAAGAAGTGTGGGAAAGTCAGCTGCACAAACTTAAAAATATGCCAATTAAGGAAGTTTATGATGTAATGATACTGAGTTATAATGATCTAGATCACAAAGAGAAAAAGATATTTTTAGATCTTGCATGCTTCCTCTGTGGGTTGAAAGTGTATGTTATAAAAGATATGTTGAAAGATCATGAAAGTGATAATTCAGTGGCTGTTGGTTTAAAAAGGCTGGAAGACAAGGCTCTTATAACTATTTCTGAAAATAATGTTGTATCTATGCATGAAAAGTTACAAGAAATGGCTTGGGAGATTGTTCGCCAAGAATCTAGTGAAGACCCTGGAGGCCGCAGTCACTTGAGGGATGCTGATGTTCATGAAGTATTGTTGAATGACAAGGTAAAGCCTAAATCAAATATAATGTCTTTAGATAACATTTGAATTTTTTGTGAGAAATATGACTTTTAATGATGTTTAAAATTTGTATTCTTCATTGATTGAAGGGGACTGAGGCCATTAGAAGCATACAGGTGAACTTGTTTGCATTTAAGCCGTTGAAGTTAAACCCTCACATATTTGCTAAGATGAGCAAACTACATTTTCTGCAAATTGATGGCATAGTTACTTCAGACTACTTGAATTATCTCCCTGAAGGGCTTCAGTCTTTGCCAACTGAACTAAGATATCTTAATTGGATGAATTACCCTCTGAAATCCTTGCCAGAGAAATTTTCTGCTGAAAAACTTGTTCTATTGTACTTGTCACATAGTTCTGTGGAAAAACTTTGGGATGAAGATCAGGTAAAGGTGATTTGTTGTAGTTATTATTTTGCTCTTAATTCAAGGAATAGAAAACTAACAACTCAAGCTCATAAGTGATGTATTCGATTGTTTTATTTATTTTTTATTTTGTTACAGAATCTTACGAATTTAAAATGTGTTCAACTTATTTCGTGTGGAGACTTGAAGGAGCTGCCAGACTTTTCAAAAGCCTCAAATCTTGAAGTACTGATTATCTTTTCGTGTGTTCAGTTGACCAGCATGCATCCATCTATTTTCTCGCTCGACAAGCTTGAGACATTGGATCTAAGTTCCTGCCTTTCCCTTATAAGACTTGAAACTGATACCCATTTAAGCTCCCTCAAATATCTCAACCTCGAAGGCTGCACAAGTCTCAAGGAATTCTCACTAACAGCAGAGAATATGATAGAACTGGATTTAAGATTCACGGGTTTGAGTGCATTGCAATGCTCATCTTTTGGACCTCAAAGCAAGCTTGAAATCCTACGCCTACGAGGAAGTTGCATTGAGAGCTTGCCTTCATCCATCAAGAATCTTACAAGACTGCGATATGTAGATGTAGGTAAGTGCAGGAACCTTCGGACTCTACCAGAGCTTCCCCCATCTCTTGAAAATCTAGATGCTGGATGGTGCACATCACTGATGACTGTATTGTTCCCTTCAACAGCCGCTGAACAATTTAAGGAAAATAAGAAATGGGTTACGTTCTGGAATTGCTTGAAATTGGATGAAAATTCTCTTGTGGCTATTGCATTGAATGCGCAGATCAATATGATGAAATTAGCATATCAACATGTTGAAAATTATGATGATTACAATGAGCACCATGATTCTTATCAAGCAATATATGCCTACACATATCCGGGAAGCAGTGTTCCAGAGTGGTTTGAGTATAAGACCATAAATGATCATATTATTATTGATCTCTCTCCTCCACATTCCCTTCAGCTGGGCTTCATTTTCTGCTTCATCATTGGCAAGCAATTTTTTCGTGATCGTGTGAAATTTAAAATCACTATCCAGGATGGTGAGGGTGAAGGTAAAAAGGATAGTGTCGAAATGTACTTGGATACTGACGACTCAATGTTATTGGATCATGTCTGTGTGAGGTACGACAAAGGATGTTCTCTCTACCTAAACAGCTTAGCCAAAAATCAGACAAGGTTGAAAGTCAAGGTTACAGTAAGCATTGCAACCAACGACCATGAAGATAGAGTGTTGTTGAAAGGACTCGGGGTCAGCCTAATTAACACCTCGGCATATCACAATTTCAAGCAACAAATGGAATTGCGTGATTCTAATTAAATATCTCAATTTCATTTAACAAATGGAATTGGGTTGTGATTAGTATCATCTTGTGTATTTCCTTCCTGTGGTTTAAGACGAGAATTTTGATTTAGAATAAAGTTTATTATTTGAAGTAATTCGAACCCAATAGGTTACAACATTCAAGTTATATCACTACAAAAAAATAAGTGATTAGCGAAGGTTATTCAGTGTAGGTTAAAAAAACCTCCGTTAGATAATATAATTTTTGGGAGGCTTTCGACCTCCATAATTTATTATTGCTTTTCTACTTTATATTGCTTTATCTCCATTTAACAAACCTTCATGGTCGTGTGTTATCGTCAATTAATATACTCTAATTTTTTTTTTAAATACTAAATTTTATTATGCAATAAAAAATGAGTACATCTCCAGATGCCAGAACACCTTTTCTCTAGCTCTTTCTTTTATCCAATTTTTGGAAATAGATTCTCTCAAGTAAAAAAAAACATGACATGATCACGTGAGAAGATCACAATCATATAAAGATAAATCAACGGTTATAATTTTGTAACTACTTATTTTAATATATTTTCTCTCTTCTTCTTTATTACCGTTAATCTATCTTTATATAATTATAATTTTTCACATTATATGATGACGTGATTTTTCAGATCAGAGGATGCAGATCCCAATTCTTAGCCCTCTTTCTTTATTCTCAAATTCTCGGTATCGTACTCTACTCATAACACACTAGCCTTTTTTAATTTTGATTTCTTCATCTCTTTTTTACTGTTAGGTTCTAATTTCTTCATTTCTCTTTTCTTACTAGGGTTTGGATCTGTGTTTCGTTTGCCAAAATGGTGACCATGCCTCGTTATCTCTCTTTCTCTCGATTCTCTTCTCCGCCATTTGTGGTTTTTTTACCAATCGTGATTAAGTTTGGGCTTTCAACTCTTTAATTGTTTGATTTAGATTTCGTTTTCAATTCCAATTGGGGAATTCATTTCGCATCGCATGAATTTCGCATCCAGTTAGGGGCACCGCCATTGACGGAGCCTTGAAGGCGTACAGGGAGGCGGTGCTATTGTCGCCGAGGTCGGTGACGTATACGATAAACGAATCGCAAATACAGGTATTATTTCCTTTATCTTAAGCAAACACTTGAAAAATGATTTTTATATATTTTTTTATTTGTTTCTTATTTGGTGGCAGGGAGAACAAGCTTTCTTGGTGCTGATGATTTTTATATTCAAGGTGTTCCTGGTTTCATATTTTTCATGATATTGTGTAACACCTTATATTTTTGTCTACAGTTATTGTTCGTATTGAGTAAACTAAGTAATTGGATTTTCATTGATATAATTTGAGTTTTTTATTTGATTTGTATCATTTGTTTGTTTTGGATTTTTGGTATTCTAGATCACAGCTCGCTACACTACATTTTTCCACAGGAGCAAGGTGATCTGAAGCTCCGAGTCTGAACTTTGGAATCTGAGAGGGCATTCCAACGAATTGCCACTGTTCAGAAGACAATAGGGAATGTGAGTGAAGCCAGCCTATAGTTTAGTGGAATTATAAGCTTACTTGTTTCTTGGTATTTGGTTTGAGTCTATTTAACAATCTGTAAATATGTTCTCTTTACAGATTTTGGGTATTTTTTTGGGTATTTAATAAAATAGTTTCTTGGAATTATAACCCTATGTGTTGTTTTTGCTTGTGAACGTGACTTGATTTTGGGTATTTTCTTCAATTTTTATGAAACTTTAATCAATAATTTTCCTCTCCTTGTTCCTCTCTATAACTGAGATCTTGATGGGAAGAATATACAGTTAAGAGTGTCAAGAGTGAAAAGAGAATCTAGTTCCACCCATCATGGTGTAGGTTAATTGACCCTATACCGTAATTCACTACAATAAACAATTGGGCTTAAACCCAATAAACATATATATAAACCCCTGATGGATAGTATGATCTCCTTGTTTTTATTAGAAATCCATGTTTCAAGAAAGCCAAACCTGTGTCTCTAAAACCTAAAAAGCTTTTGAAGGAATACTTGAAAAGTGGTGCCATATTCATTGTCTTTTTGAAGAAAGATGGTTGGCTTTCTTCTTACTATACCTTATTTGGTGCAGGGCTTGCATGTCAATGATCGACTTTTTGTTATTGGTGGACAAGAGGGTGATTTTATGGCCAAACTAGGTTCTCCTATATTCAAGTGTTCACGCAAGAATGCTTTACTGTTACATATCATAATTTGATAGTTGATTTTTAAAGATATGACATGGGGAATAGAATTTATTATTATGCTGCAAATAATCTTTTGCACAATTACACCCATTTCTTAATGCCTAATATGTTGAGACTCAAAATATATTGCATTCTCAATATTATCTTTTCTTGTGAAGCCTTGTGGTGACTTGTAGCCATATTTTCTTACGTTTCAACCCATTTTTTTATGATCCTTCGATAAAAAGATTCATTCTCTTCATAAAAAAGAGGAGGTAGAACCAATAAGGTGGTCAATGAAGATGCTTATATGATGGATAAAGAAATTAAATGGAAAGTTTTTCCTCCTATGCCAAAACCAAACTCCCATATAAGTGTGTGCATGAGTTATTGTCAGCAATTCAATTATTATCACTGGAGGTACAACCAAATAGCACCCATTGACAAAAAGGATGATCCTGGTTGGGGAGGTCTTCTGATTTAATTTAGACTCTATGGTACTCTTTTACTCATTAGGTTCCTATCTGTCTCTGGTTTCTTTTCCATCTTATTCCTCAACCTGTGTTCCTATCTGTCTAGCTAGACAAGTACATATTTAATGTCTAACTTCACTTAAATCATCCTCTCTGAGTTGGATTCATTTTCTTTCAGGTATTTGCATTTGTGAGAATGGACAAGGCTAATAACTCACCCCAAAGAGCAAATTGTCATGTGTGTGAATGCATATTGGAACTTCGGACCAAAGTCGAGGTAACAAATATAGATTGTTTTTACTTCTTGGAAAAGGCAGCTCATAAAATTGGTCAAATATGTGCACCCTGCATCTTTTTGGTTGCAGCTCTGGAGGCTCTGGTAAGTGTTTAATTCCCTTCACATTTCTTTTGCTTTATTATGTAATTCTAATGCTATGTGTGTGTGTGTTTTTACATTTTGGGTTTATTGCTTTAATTTTTTATTCCATTGGATTATTTATTTATTTTATTTTATTTTTTGCTGCTGCAGGTTGGGGTCGTTTCAGATTTTGACTTGTTAGCAATTGATTCGATATCAGGTACCATTGACATCATGAATACAAAAGTTTTTGCTGTTATTGTTGAAAGATTGAAGATATTCATATGTTTTATGCCCGTGTGTATGTTAGAGAGACAGTAGTTTCTGTTTTGGTGAGTAGGGAGGCCAAATGGTGGTATTTGACTTTTCTGCCAAGTCTGAGATTCCATCAATGTGCCGCTGCAATCTTGTGAAACAAGTTCTATGCATACTATTGCTAAAGATTTTACTAATTGTTCTTTTTGGCTTTTAGGTGGTCCTCAAAGTGATACAAACGTATTCCCCCTGCCGTTGACAGTTCTTGGAAAGTACGTGTAACAGTTTTATGTTCTGCTTCCTAGGCATTGTTTCATTAGCATTTATTTGACTGTTATATGAATTCTTAACTATACTCGATAGATTTGCTGTTAATCATAAATAACTCCTCTATAATTGATGCCAAATGGTGCTATAAGACGCAGATGTGGTTTTAGTTTGACATGAGGCCATAACAAACTTAGGTTTGGACAAAAAAAAATTTGGACTACTTGATAATTTATCTGCTCCCACAGACAAACTTTTATGATTTGTTTGTGATTTTTTCTACTCTTATCTAAATGTCTTGGCAAAAATTAAAATGGTTAGTTATAAATATCCTTATAAAATTTATAATTGATGATTGTTTTATTTCCACTCATTGATTGCAGGATGAACCAGGGTTAAGAGAAGTACTCAAGTTTGCAAATGCATGCGGAGCAATTATAACTACCAAAAAAGGAGCAATCCCTGCCCTTCCCAAAGAGGATGATGTGTCGAACCTGATCAAGGGGGCATGTAATCTTTTTATGGGATTCCAACATGATTTTCGTGGGGTTGCTGGCTATTAATTTTGGAGGGAATAGTCTCTTGGTTTTCTTTGTTTTTATTCTATTCTTTTTTTTCACCCCTTTTCTGCATTGGCAGAAGGATAATGTGCTTTTAGGTTTTGCCAAATAATGTTTTCTTTTAAGTTTTGAGAATAGTTGTCGAACGAAATTTGGATTAATAAGAATTACACAAGTATCATTCCAGCGCTTTGCGCACGTGCATAATTTTAGTTAGCTAAGCTTATCTTGTTACTTAGTTATGCTCTGTCATTTTTAGGCCTTTCCTTTCTTCTTTTCTTATTTTACTCAAATTAAGTGATGGGCCCAATTCCCAAATTATAATATATAAACCTTTAAACTCTTGGATATTGACAGTCTAAAGCCATTACAAAATATGAGAAATAGAAAGTGATAAATTGTGGAGATTAAATCTGTCAAAATAATAAACAAATTAAGGAGGTTTATACCCTCTAGGAAGTGATAAATGTTATGGGGGTCTATGAGTGACAGAAAGTCAAATATATTTGTGGAGGTCTGAAACTTTCAGAAAGTACAACATTTGTGGGGGGTTTGAAATTTCCAGAAAATATTCCAACAAATTGTGGCATTATACATAAAGACCCCACAAAATGAGTTGTAGCGCATGTAATACTGGAGGTTGTTGGGTTGGGGATGCCACTAATGTCTTTTGTGGGGGTCAAAGACTTCCACAATTTGCAAATATGACCCCACAAAAAACTTGAATTTGAACAAACAACGATAAGCAACGATTACTCAAAAGATACTAATATGCTAGAATACTCAAAACTACCGCGAAAGATAATAGTATGCACTATACAGGTACTGATTAGCATACCCCAGTCCAAGTGATGATGATAATGGTAATTTTCAAAATTACCGCAGTTAGTATTGTCAGTCTATAGGTAGTAGCTTTAGTTGTTTAGATGTACATTTTGAAAGTTTTGTGCTGGAGCTAGTATTACATTAATTTTTTGCATGGATGTACCAAAGCAAGAAGCTCCTTCCTTTATCAACTACTTTAACACTTGCTGCAACACTTGGAATTGCTGAAGTTGTAGCTCTTTCCCTTGATTCTGATACCAGAAGGACCCATGAACTCAATGCTTTGAGGTTTTGGGTGGAGACATGGTATTAGATCCACTTGCTACGGTTGGTGTAGCCTTAACTCATTGGCGGTGGCCCCCGCCACGGGTTTTCCCCCGGACCCGCCTGACATTGGTATCAGAGCTGGATTGGGCTTGAGCTAGCCTGGTGATTGGCTAGGAGGCGGGTCGAGTACTTTGCACTTGGGGTACTCGGTTGAGGCGAGCATACCAATGGTGGGTTTCACACTTGACGGGGAGATTGCTGAGATATTTAAGTGTGATGAGTCCCACATTGATTGGTAATGAGCTAAGTGAAGAGTATATAAGTGGAAGGACCCATGAACTCAATGCCTTAAGGTTTTGGGTTGAGACATGGTATCGGATCCACTTGCTACGGTTAGTGTAGCCTTAGCTTATTGGTGGTGGCCCCTACCACGGGCTTCCCCCTAGACCCGCTTGACATTTATCTCAAGGTTCTTAACATGGTATCAGAGCCTCGTGTCCCGGGTTCGATCCTTGCCGCCCCCCACTTTCTTTCAAGTGGAATTTCTTTGTTCCCACGGGTAGGTGGGTCTGTGCATTGTCCACCCTTCAAGCCCAGTGGACTCTCGTGTGAGGGGGCGTGTTGAGATATATAGTCCCACATTGGTTGTATGAGCAACTAATATGGAGTTTATAAGGCCTTGGGCACTCCCACCCTTTCTTTCCCTTGATTCTGGCATTCTTATGAATATAATGGGTGAATATTGATCCAAACATAACCCCATGTTCTTAATATGTTTCTTCAGGTAATACTTTCTTAAAAGTTGTACAGTTGGCCAGGAAGACAAGTGCTCTGTTACCTTGGCTTCCCCAACCCCTCCCAACAAAAAGAAAAGAAAAAATAAAGTGCTAGATATAGAAAATAATGGCAAGAATATTTACGCTTAGATGTAAAAATTCTTTCTGAAAATAAATATAGAATATAATGCCATATATGCTATATACAACTTCTCTGGGATTTGAGACATAGTTTTTATAAAAGTATTTTAGCTAAATGCTCTGAATTTAATATTTATCGTTGGCTCATAAAGATTAGGGATGTGCATGGAGCGATTCATAATCGGTTTTAAGAAAAATCGAACCGAACCTATTTTAAACGGTTTGGTTTTCAAACTGAACCGGTTTTTTTTAAACCGGTTTTTAATTTTCTAAACTGGTTTGAAACTGGTTCCTAAACTGATTTATGGTTCATAACCGATTTTAATTTAAAACCAGTTTTAAATCAAAACCGGTTGCGAACTATAAATCGATTATCAAGTTCAAAACCGGTTTTATAACAAATACTAAATCAGTTTTTGATGAATTGTGCTATTTTTATAAGTCGTTTGTTTCTCTCGGTTATAGGTAGTTGGCCAATTTTTTCTTGCAAGAATCTTCATTGTTTTGGAACTCTCCGGACGAAATGATTCTTATAGAAATTGTTTCACGTTGTTTTGAGAGTGATTGATAGAAGAACAGTTTAATTATTTTAAATTATAAAAAAATTGTTCTTCGTTCTCTCAAGATTTATGTTACTAAGAGTTTCATTTGAACCGACGGAGGAAGGTATGGGTAGGGGTGTTCAAAATGTCCAAAAGAATCAAACCAATCTATAACCAAATTGCTCCACATATTTGTTGTAATTTTGGGAAGACTTTCAACAAACAATAACATGCAGAACATAGCAAGAAAAATTAAAGAGCACATAAAGAGAGAAGACACAAGTATTTTACAGGTTCAGAAACTCAGTATTAGTGAGTTTCCTACGTCCTAGGGCCTAAAGAGGGTTAAACGCCCTCTGATATTACTCTTTATTCAAATCAAGATTCAGAAGCATAGTTTACAGTATACAATTTCAGGTATACAAGAATTAAAGCATATGAAGAAACTATAACAGGTAAACAGATCAACAAGAAATACAATCTTGATACAAAACATCAAGATCTATGAATTAGAACCGTAAAGTTAGAGTGAACTTCCCAATCTTTGAGCCAGCAAAGGAATCGTCGTTCCTTTCACACGATCTACAAGTTGATCAACATCAGCTTCACCGATCTTCCTCACAAGATTGAACTTCCAACTCTTTGAGCAGTAATCCGAAAAGTACACCAATCAATAGAACCGTCTTGTTGAGCTGAACAAGTTTCTCCAAAGCACCATTGACTGATTCTCAATATATCACTCACTATTTACAGAATGATATGCACTCACACAAACCCTAACGTACAGCCTTTTTCGAGAGAGTTCTTAAGATGGTAGCTAAAACAAAATATCACGTGTTCTGTATCAAAGAGAGCTCAGCTGAAGGGTTAAGTAAACCATTAGCCTTCACAAAGCAAAACGAAAGCGTTTTGCTTGTGTTGCTAAAAATGGGCCTCAGCCACTTCACTTGGCCCAATAGGTAAATAATGATAAGAAACATACAGCTGATAATTGGAATAGCCCAATAGGTAAATAGAGAGAAAAACATCTATGTTTATGAAATACATATAACAAAACTTCACCTATTTCTAAACATACAACAGAATAAGAGCAATCCAGATTTGGTGTAGGCATTTAACCCATAGGCCCATATGCAATGCATGATCATGGTGGTTCAATTTTTAGCAAACCTAGAGCATCTCTAAGTTTGCCAACAGGTACAGATTTTGTAAAAATATCAGCAGGGTTAATAATGCCAGAAATTTTTTCAACAATTACTTGTTCACTAGCTATTATTTCCCTAATAAAATGAAGCCTAACATCTATATGTTTTTTTCTTTCATGAATGTAGAATTTTTTGAAAGATGGATAGCACTTTGTGAGTCATAATTTACCTTTGGTGGGTTCTTACCTAACCCAACTCACCTACTATACCTTTTAACCATATGGCTTCCTTGACAGCTTCAGTCAATGCCACATATTCAGCTCTGTTGTTGATAATGCTACTATGTGCTGAAGATTACATTTCCAGCTCACCACATTACCTCCCACAGTAAACACAAAACAGTTAGTGATCTACGTTTATCAAGATCAGCAGCATAATCAGAGTCACAATATCCAACAATATTAAAATCATTAGAATCAAATGCAGAAAAATTTAAACAGCAATTGATAGATCCATTTAAGTATCTAAGCAACCATTTAACTGCACTACAGTGCTCTTTGCAAGGTTTACTCATAAACCTGCTTATCATGCTAACTCCATATGCTATGTCTGGCCTTGTGCCAATCATAGCATACATTAGACAGCCAACGACATTAGAATACGGAACATATGACATATATTGTGTTTCTTCAGGAAATGATTCTCCAGAAACAGATTTGAGCCTAAATTGAGCACCTAATGGAGTGCTAACAGGCTTGGACAGATGCATCTCAAAGATTCTTAGAACCTTTTTGACATACTCAGACTGGGATAGTGACAGATGTCTATCTTCCCTTGTCCTTGTAATTTCCATGCCAAGAATTCTCTTGGCTGGTCCAAGGAATTTTATTTCAAATTCCTTTTTCAGCATATTCTTAACAGAATTTATTTCACTTAAATTTTAGATGCAATCAACATATCATCCACATATATCAACAGATAAATATAACAGTCATCATGCAAATTTTTAAAATAAACACAATGATCAAAACTACTTCTAGCAAAACCTTTTGATAAAACAAAATCAGCAAAACGTTTATACCATTGTCTGGGGGCCTTTTTGAGACTATATAATGATCTCTTCAGCAGGCACACCATGTTTTCTGTCCCCCTCTTTACAAAGCCTTTAGGCTGTTCCATATAGATTTGCTCATCAAGATTGCCACGGAGGAAGGCAGTCTTGACATGAAGCTGCTCCAGCTCTAAATCATAGATAGCAACAGCAGACAACATCAACCTTATTAATACATGTTTGACCACAGGTGAGAAAATCTCATTGTAGTCAATTCCTTCAACCTGGGAGTACCCTTTAGCCACTACCCGAGCCTTAAACTTTGCTGGTTCCACTCTTGGTATCTCTGGTTTTCTTTTAAAAATCCATTTACAGCCAATTACTCTCTTTTTCTTTGGTCTCTCCACCAAAACCCAGGTATTATTTCTCTTTAAAG